AGAGGCACTGAGCACCTCTGAAAAAAAAGAGGCTTCTTCCCGTTACGGTAAGGTCACCAAACGGATCTCTGTCACATGCGGGCAAGTTAGCACAAACCTTCCGCACTTCCTGCACTGCGTTCTCCTCAGTGCGGCGTCTCAGCCCTCTCTCAATACCTCCAACGCCGCCTCATCGCTCTGCTCCAAGGCACAAACACTCCAACAAAGATATTTTCCCTCTATTGTCTAGTCTGATTTTTCAAATGCCACTTCAGATTCCCGTTTCACCGAATGCAAATACTGTGAATAAGCCTTTTTTTTTCTGAAGAATATCATTCGTAGGAAAGCATTTTCATGGCAACCCCAATTTAATCTCCTTTTTTCCAAAGATCATACAAATGTTGATCTCCAGTCTCATCCACTCAACTGCCACATCCTCCCAACTCACTGTTGCTCTAATTGCGCACTGCTGAGCCCCCTCGATCGTTTCAGTATCCCTCAATAACGGCAGGATCAGAACTGAAGGCAAAAATCCTCTCCTCTGCAAAGCAGCATTACAGTCTTTCATTTCTGCTTTTGATTCTTCTGTAAAACCGAAGCGAGGAAAGCACTGGCTTATTTCTGATACAGTGATGTTGCACCACAATCTCTTATTCAGTCTGTTCTCACCCCAGTGGATTTTTGTTTGGTATTTTTAACTCTAAACTTTCCAAGCAGCCACCTCCCTTTAGGTACTTGTTCCAGTTGCCAGTCCTACTTTGGATATATACCTTTATCACCTCACTGAGGATAACAAGATATTCTTACCCTTTCCGAACACTGGGCCAGTCTTGATCTCACCTAACACAGGTTCTTTGGCTCTTTGATTTCACCTCAGCTTAAAAAGACACCAGGAAAAGACTATCTCCTTAAATTCACTAATAAAAGTTACACAGAAAAGGCCTGGGCTCCAATGGCTGCAGAACATGAGAAGCACTCCTCATCTGCAAGCGGAGTTGGTAATGGTGGGTCTACACAGGGGCAGATATTAACTTGTTTAGCGCTTGGTGGGTTTGGGGTATTTTGAGGCATTAGGGAGTTTATCCAGGACAAGATTTTTCTTTTTCATTGTATGTCTTTACATGGCACTGCATCAAATGTCTTAAACTGAACTACTGTACGCCACAGCCACTGCGCTATTCTCACCCAGCAAGATAAAAATGCTAGCAGAGAATCCTACCAGATTTGTTTGCTATGATCAGCTCTCCACTAGCCCTGGTATATCAGTCAGTAAATGCACTTTCCCCCTGCTCCACGTGAAAGCAGATACGGTCCCATAATTTAATACCCTGTATGCAGGCTTCAAAAGAGAAGGAGCTTTGTCCGACCTAGAAGCCCTGCCCCAGAGCAGTTCTGCAGCCCGGACGCTCTGCTCCTGCTGCTGGACCAGGGCACGGCAGCATGTGTCACTGCATCAACTGATCCAGTTCCCAGTCTTGCATCCCAGCTTAACGTCTCCCCTAATGCCCTAAGACATAAGATATGCAGCTTTCCACTGTTGTACCTCAGTAGCTGTTCCCTCAATATTTAATCTTGTAAGCTGTTAATGCACAGATCTGTGCCAAGCGGCAGGGTTCATCTTTTTCTGCACTCAAAATTTGCTTCCCTCTTGTTTGAATGTAGCAAAGGCCGCCCTTTTACTCCTCAGACCTCAAATCAAAAATCATTCCGTTTTAACCCAGTGAGAGTCCAGGTGGTTTTCTTCCTACTGTAAGCCTTTTTTTCCTTTAAAAGTATAATAGAAAATTTTGGCCAGGTGCATTTCTTTGCATTTTTATTTATTCACCACAGCCTTAGTTTTTTCACTAAGTGAAATAAATAAAAGCCCAGAGGCAGCCAAGCCTCGTCTCCGGAGATGCAGGCAGCTGCCCCAGCTGCCTCTATGCCAGGGCTGTGCCGCTTGGCCAGCTGCAATGCAGGGCACGCAGCCACCACCTGGGAGGACGCAGAGGGAGGCAAGGCAGAGGGGCTGCCAAACAGCATCTCCCTGAAGCCCGCCCGGCCGGCCCTTCTCTCACGGGGAAGGAGCTGCGGCTGTCTTTCAGCTGTGAATTGCTGCCCCTTCTCTCCACTCTCCAAGAGACGATCCACTTGGTTCCTGACCGGAGCAAGAGTTCGGTATGTGACTCAGATGTTCAAAGGAGTCGATCAGCTAGCCACTAGCCACATATTGCTCCATGTGAAGCAGTTCATAAAGCATCCCCAGCTTCTTGGGGCTAGATTAGACAAGCACAAAGCTAAAGCGTTTAGCACTTTTGTGGGAGACACAAATCACTCAGCTGTTGGGGCACACACTCCCTTGAGCTTTCAGCTAGGCCAGTGAGCCTTTTTCATGGGTATTCTTCAAGACAGAAGTAATTTAAACTCCCAAACACAACTCATCCTACAGGATCTATTTTCTGAGCAGTGTGGGAAGGTACCGGCCTGCACAACCATTTATTAGCACAAATAGGAGTGTATGTTTAACTCTGCGGAATGGGTAGAACAAAGGATTATTAAATAAAATTCCGATTAGTTCTGCTGAAAGCAAAATACCAGCTGGAGCCTGGGGTAACGCAGGCATGCTATCAGCAAACATGTGCTGCCAGCGCATCTGCACACGCACACACCAGCTCTGACCACGGGGGAGCCTCAGACGGGAACAGCAGAAGCGAGGCGTCCCCATCGTGCTCCGTGCTCTGATAGCTCAGGTCCTGCCCTCCGCTAGGCAAAGCCTTTGGCCCGACAGCGCCGGTCGTAGCTGCATTATGGGAATCAGAGCGACAAAACCCAAGTTTTCCGACTTGATGCCCTCCTACCAGTAGCCGGGCTTTGTTGGCTTTCCAGGTGGGAACACTGCCACTCAACACAGCTATCGCAGAGTCCCACTGCTTGGAAACACGTGCACGGCACATCGCTCTACCTACAAGGGGACGGTGCCCGCAAGCCAGCCTGCCTAACTGCAGCCATATTCATTAACAGCCTGTCGTTTAGATCCTATTGCAAAAGTTAATGAAGCCACTTTGCGAGAGGGCAGCCTCCCTGAGCAGAAGATAAATAATGTATATAAAAGGGGGCTGGGAGGGAACTGGCGCATCCTTGCAAGGTCATGCTAGAATGCATCAGTGGCTGGCTGAGGCTGGGCTCCTCTGGTAAGAAGCCTGGAGCTATTTATGACTCATGTAATTAATTAATGCCAACGGGCGTTCTGCTGCAGGCACGTGGGAGACCAAAGGGAAATACGAAGCGAGCAGGTTAGGAAATGTAGTGGAGGTGGGGGAGAAGGATGACATTTCTTGCGGTAAGACATGCTTTGAAGTAATTATCAACAGTCCAAACAGCCAGCAGCAATTTTGGCTACAACAGTACAAAATCAATTAGGAGCTTTAAAAACGCATCGGCTCATGTTTCAGAGAGCAGCAAGAATAAGAAGTAGCCATCTGAGGTAGGGCAGTTGCATTTCTAAGCGCCACACACCACCAGACCCCCAGATCCTCAGACCCCACAGTGCAGCCCAGAAATGGTGTGACCAGTAGAGGGAGCATCGTTAATGCCTTCCAAATCGTAAATGTTTTTGGATGAGGAGCATTAAGGAAGACTGACGGTTTGATTTTACATCTCTCTAAAGTCTGAGGACAAGTTTAACAGATTCAAGAGAAAGAAGCAAAGGGCAAAGTGAAATGTGGGCGTATGCTTTGCAAGCTGAGTCCCTGCAGGCACTCAGGGCTCCCGACATATACCTCCTTCCCTTTCTGGAGCCCAGCTCTCAGACACTGGGAGCTAACCAAAACTCACGGATCACATTAAGAAAGGGACCGAGCCTGTGGCTTTCCTGCTTCAGTTTGCAATACTGCAGTCTCACACCAAACACTCAACATGTGGCGATGCTGAGTCACAACACCACGCTTGCACAGACCATTTGAGGACAATGAGAGCTTAACCTAATTTTGTCCCTTTGTTTGTCCTCTGCGCAGAGGGGATCAATCAGTTCCACTCCCTGCCTTCAGATCCCCATGCATCCAGTGCCTAATACATTATACAGCAAAACTGTAAACACACATAAAACGCACCCTTTCCCTCCTGTGGGGACCTAAAGTCCTTCTGGGCTGTTCAACTCCCACCCCGCCTGCATCCTCCCTCACATCTCTTTGTTGCCAGAATATCTTCTATCAGTTCCCAAATGTATTCAGGCATTGTCCCGTCTCCCTCTTATCATAGCTGCCTGCAACAAATCCCCTCACACAATGAGGATTGCAGATTTGCTTACAACCCAGTGTTTTTTTCCATTTCTGCTTCTCTGTGCCTATCTTTTCTCTCTGGACACTTGCAGGGGCCAAGCACCACAGCACCAGTCTGACACTGCCATCTGGATGAGCAGCAGAGGCTGCCTGCCGTCTCAACCCTGGCAGGCAAAGCCTGGGAGGCTGCAGGATGCTCCCCTTTGAGCCTTACCCACCTCCACAGTCTGGGGGATCTTGCTTCCTACCCTCTGATCGCTGCCAAAGCCCTCAGATCTTGGCTGGTGGGACTCGCTACCGCTATCTGCTATTTTTCTGGAGCAAAACCATGCAAATCAATAGCAAGGATTAAAAAAAAAAAAGAAGAAAAGAGTAAGTGAAATGGCAGTCAGTTTTAGTTTCATAAATATATATGAGTGAGTAGAACAAGAGTAACAAAGTACTCCTTTCTGGTGGGCTGAGAATCGACACGAGCCCGAGTCTCCAGGGTAAAACACGAGCGAAGTAAACGACAACACGAACACCCACTTAGCATTCGTGCTACATACTCCTGATCTGAGCCTCACCAGCTTTAAGAACGCTTCTGTTAAATACTGTAATGCTCCCAATTACGAGTGATCTGGATTGTTTATTTTCTAAACAGATTTCCCACCCCAGGAGATCCCATAAGCCTAAGACAAAAGCAGTCTTGAAGAGGTGTTTCAACCTCTTTTGGCTATACAATATCCACAGCTGGCTCGATTTCCCTAACTGTTTCATACTGACCTTGAGGATATTTCGGCCATTAAACGACTCCCGTTCCTTGAAAGATGATTTACCAGTCATTGTATTGTTTCTCTCTTCAGCTGTAAAGAGAAAAGCCACCCACCAGAATGAGCTTCAGATGGGAGAACTGTCTGTGCTGTACTTCACCCCCCACTCTCTCCCTCCCCAAAGTCAGCTGCCAGCTAACATACCATCTTTGCCCAGTTCTTAGTGCAAAAACACTTCCACTTTGGTTTTAAACAGAACAAGGCTGAATACAGAGGAACTGGTGCCTTTACCGGGATCACCTACGTTACCTGGAGGAAAAACCCTAAATCATAGCTACTGCTAGGGCAATTCTGTAGGGCTGATGGCTCAGTGCAACACACCTGCTTCTCTCTGGCTGATTTTAATCCCACATCCTGCCAGGGTTAGAGTCAGCACTGCGAGCGCTTGCGTCGCCTGGAACAGCACCAAACACCAGACTGAGCATGCGAACACAATGCCAGGCACGATCCGGACAGCACCTATACAAACCTCTGCTGCCTGCTCCGGGAAGCACATACATGTGGTGTGTATGCTTCTGCGGGGTGGGCACGCAGCCACACACGCAGACATTAAGAATAGCAACCTAGGCCTATAGCAACTGCCAAATGCCTACGTCTCATATCCATTTCCCCAGAACATGCCTGGATTTTTATATAACCCCTAAGTATGTGATCTGTTCTTTCCACAAGACCTCTGCCTCACTCAGTGAATATATTCAATATTTCTTTTTCGTCTCCAGCATTAACTATGAAGTCCCACTCACACCTAGCGCGCTATTCAAATCCTGTATTGAATATAAAGCGACTTCTATGGCTATCTGTGTAATGCGCTCATCGTGCCTGAATGCCTCACGTGCTTCATGGGGTTGTTCAGAATATAGACTCATAATGCCAGACGCAGCTGCCCGTGTGCCTCCCCTAACAGAGAGCCGCATCAGCACTTTGGGCTTACATTTTCACCAGTTTTCAGGGCTCAATTTGAGAGAGCTACGCCCCATCTTTTCAGGGTTTCTACCGCCTGAGTTTGCTTGTCTGACTTCAGTAGCAGTCATCCCCAAAGTCTGCTGCTGGGTGCACAGAAAACTGTAACACAAACCATCTGCTGTTATCACCGTCCGTACAGAGACTCACAGAGTCACTGGAGAATACTCGACATAACCTGTCAGCATTGCAGAGAGGCCACTACGGCAGAGAAAGCTACAAAAAGCTTTAGTGCAATGCTGTTAAGGCTTGCAAACTACACACCAGTGCCAGAGCACATGCATGTTTGCACATGGAGAACAAGGCTGTAATAAACTGCCCCTCCCTAAATGCAATGCATCTAAGGCTGCTTTATAAAGTAGTGCGATAAGAACGATGCTGCAGACTGCTAGAGCAGGCAATCTTTTGGCAGAGACGGCAGACACTATACACTCAATAACAGCTCATATTCAGCCTCATAGCCCTCTGAATCTGATTTAATGAGAATGACACTGGAACGACGTTCCTAAACCAATGGGCAATCTTTAACTTGACCAAAGAGGATCACGTTTTCACCTTCTTTAAAGGTCAGCACAGCACATGGAGTTGTTACTGAATTTCAATCCAATGTTGGGGCACAGAGAGCCCAAGGTATTTGAATGCATTCCTCTCTGGCCCCGATCTTATGAGTGCTACTGGGCGATAGTGTTTCTGAAGCTATGACAAAGAATCTTAGAAAAGATCCAGAAAGTGCTCAAAGCATGCCTGCCTCCTCCAGCTCTGCCGATTGCTTTTTCATTTCCTTCTGGGTTTTATTTAGTGACATCCCCCCACAACCTTGTAGGTATTTTTGAGATTAAGAAAAATCACAAAATTTTAAAAAAGAAACATAAAAGCCAACAAAAGCATTTCCCATTCAGAGGTACTACTTTAAATGCATTTATCAGTAAGGATGAAGGATACGCACCACTTGGATCTTTCCTGAAGACAGTGTTCATGACTGTAGCATGCAGTTTCACTCTATCCCATTCTTTAAGCATCAGGCCAGAGGCCACAAACCTTTCCACCAGTTGATCAGCCATCACCTGCAACCTGAGAAGGCAAAACCAGAAAGTACAGAGCAGTGTAAACCAAGGAGAAACCCCCGCATCGTCAGTTTTTTGCTTTTCAGCCAGGGAGGGCAGCATGTGTGAAATGAAGTCTCTGCACGCACACGGGGAAAGGGAGCTAGTCTCTGATGGAAAGTGAACAGAGCCATCAGGATTCAGCTCTAATGCAAAAAGTTCTGGCTGTTTCGCAAAGCTCCCTCGGTGACCACTTCTGTTGCAAACATTCCACGAAGAAGGGCAGATTTAGCATAGCAGAGAGCTTGTTCGCAGTGGCAGATGTTATTGGGACTTGAAGAATGCAGCTTTCTACTGCCAGGAATCACAATGTGACTCTCCTTACAAATGCTAAAATCTGCAGACCCCCAGGGGGGGCTTAGGCACCTTGATTCCTGGAGGACCTGCTCTGCTCAGGGACTGCGACCTGTACAGTGCACCAGGCCAGATCTCGGACCCTCTCTGTCCCAAATAAGCAACCCAGTCACTGGGCTTAATTTCTGGAAGAGCCCAGAACGTGCTGACAAAGGGGACAAACCCAGACAGTGCATCCTGGTGAATGCTCCAGCTTTGGAGCTACTGAGCAAACAGAATCAAAGGACTTATTGCCACCTTCTTGTCTGGACTCGGTCGGGGATGAAAGCGGCCATGGCTGCCGGGATCTGCGGGCAGACCTGTCCTAGGACAGGCAGCAGGAGCAGGCAAGTGATCAGAGCAATGTGCTCACATATCCTATGTCTAAAGAGCTAAAGGAACTTCCAGGCCACTGCTGTCCCCCACAAAATTTCTGCAGTACCTGAGCCTTACCAAAAGCAGCAAGGATGAGCTAGAACAAGAGCTTCCCATCCCCGAAAACACAGCGAGAGAGTATTACTCTGCGCAGAAGAATTTGGGCTTCTCTCACCATGTCCAAGGGATTAGACAGCTCTCTGCTCCACCAGGTCCCACCACTTTGGCGTCTCAGCTGCAGCGGCAGAGGCAGAGCGTGGCCTCTCTGAGGCTGGCCCCCAGAGCCCGGGGCTGCCACGCTCCGGATGCCAGCTTCTACCCCACCGCCGGTTTTGTACTGCCCCTCACGGGCTGCCAGCCCCCATGTGACGATTTTAAGACTCTCAAACTACCAATTGTCATGGTTTTCTACCACTTTCTGGCTTTACATCAGTGATTTTTAAAATTAGCAATGACAAAGATTAAATGAATATCATTACAGACAATACTAAAACAAATTAACAGAGAATAGCTCAAGTGAAAATGGTGCTTTATTACATTATAAAGTTAATCAAGGAAATAAAACAAATTAGAATGAATTATAATGGAAATTATTTGCCATGTGGGAAGCATCAGACCATGATCCCTCTCTCAGTCTGAGCCATTACATGTGCAGAAGGGCTTGCCAACCCCTAATTCTGTCTGCAGTTATGCAAGCTACATCAGGGTAAATCAAATCTCCTGCTTTATAGCTTAAGCTGATCAAGATCATCCAAAGATCAGGAAGGAACTCCACCCCTCAGCCATGCCATGAACTACACAGAGCTAGCAAGATGTCTTGCATGAGACAGGAAGGCACACACCTCTCTTAAATGCGGGCCGCAGCAGTCTGATCCAGCACAGCAAACCACGTGGCTGCCGCTCTCCTCTAGTATTGGCCTTGCAGCTGAGAAACTCTGCTTTTTACCCGCTTTCCCCATTTCCCTGAGCAAAGCACAGCAGGCTTTACCAGGCAAGAGGTGCATGGAGCTGCTCAGCAGTGACCTGTCTAGCAGACCAGAAAACGAAGCAGAGATTTCTGGAGGGATCACCATTTGTCTCCTCTTTATAATCACCATTTATCTAACACCGTGTCTCCTGAAATCTCAAAGGAAGCAAAAGAAGCTTTCACGGCTCTCCATCAACACAAAAATATCTTCTTTCCCCTCTGCAAAGCTGAATGTTTTCTGGGTGCTTGCTAACAGTTAAGGAACTATATTAGGGGCAAAGTGCCAGCTGAATTAATTTGCAGGTGAGGGCAGGACCGGCCTGGGCCAAGGATAAAAGCTTAAAATCGCTTGGCCCTCTCTGAGCACGCTGCCATGCAAAAAGCAAAAAAGGTGTTGCGGAAGAGAAGTCTGGCAGCCTCCAGGTGCCATGCAAAGCACAAGATCTGGGTTTGGTCAAAACCTCAGCTAATAGAGCTCTGTGAAGGACAGAAGAGATATCAGCCCTTTCTCGGGGGGTCATTTTCAGTTTCAAGGCAGGGTGGATTTGAAGACCTCATTTCTCTCCCCTGCCAGAATCAGCTCTGCCACCCCTAATGCACACCAGCATTTTCTGCTAGCGTTATGGCTAAGTGGGTTCTCAGCAGAACGGATACGGCTGGCATCTGAAGCAGACCACAGTGCTAGCACCAACAATTCAAGCTGTCTCCAGACGCAGGCAGACATCGCTGCCTCACTTTAGGCCCTACTTAAGCTCTACAGGATTTCTCTCCCAGCTCCTCAGGTCGCAGACTTATTTTCAGACGCAAGCAGACTTGCAAGCACTGCACCTCGGAGATGATCCAGAGCTCGGTGACTCAGGAGAAAAGAGGCCCATACATCTCACCTCTTTCAGGGTAGGACAGACTTCAAAGTGGAAGAGCCGAGAAGAGGAAAAGATTTCAATTCCTATTGCCTCCCAGCACTTCTTACATTTTCATTTTCCCACCCATTTCCTTATCCCACTTCCGATCTCTTACTTCAACACAGCCTCCAAAGTGCGGTTTTAAGCAGGGGGCCCCCCTTGTCTCCTCAGCCCTAAGGGAAAGGAGATGCCAGAACATGTTCTTTCTTCCCTGAGCCAGTCCCTGCTCAGAGCCTCCCTCCTCCAGCTGCACTGCTCCGTGCTCCCCTGCTAGCTCCTGCTGTCCTCTAGCAACGGGAACAGATACAAAAGGGCAGCACTGTCAGAAAAAGAGAAGGATAAGGCTCAGGGAGAGAAGACTAAAGCTCTTTTGGCTACTCCCCTACCCCCTTCCGCACCCGTCTCACAACCTGCAGCACAGAGTACAACAGCTCTTATGTTTCCCCAGTCTTCCAGAAAGCGCTAAGAGAAAAGACGGTGCTACCACTGGTGACCTACTTGTCAAAAACGAGATGGAGGAAGGTTGTCCGGTCACCGCCACATCCCAGGTAGCACTGTTTGTATAGCTGAAGCTATCAGACACACTGGCGAACAGCACAAACACAGGCACTGCCACCAACCAGGCTTCGAGATTTCACACCAGCAGCTCAGAAGACAGACATTTCACACCCAGCGCCTGTTCCAGGCTGCTTACAGACACAAAAACCAACTCTGCTACCAAGCTGTGCTTTTCTGAGGACCTTCTGGTGTAACTGGGGTTTAAGAATAATTAAGTGCTGCAGAATATGCCAGGCTGTCCAGATTAATCTGGATTGCAGGTTGAGAACTAGACAGCAGAGGCCAAGTTGTCCTGCCTTCTAAGTCGTCTCAGGAGTATCTCCTTGGCCATCTTATCACTGCGCGAGCCACGACACCATTATTCAGTCTGACAGACTGCTACAGAAACAAATGACATCTTTCAGCTGCAACACCAGTGACTGATTTAAAGAGCAAACTGCCTTAACCGGTTTAGGAAGCAAGAATGATTTCATCTTCCTGACTGCTGGCCCAAGGACTGCTAGCAATACCCACCAGCTTCAGATGGCAGAGGGTTTCTCTGGCACACCGCTACTGCTGCCGTGGCGAGGAGGAATGAAAGAAAGGAGCATGGGGAACTCACCTGTCCGAGCCATCCTTCATGTGGACTTTGGCATAAAGGACGTCTGTCATGGCAGGGTCATCGTTCATGTACTCCACTCCTGCCACCTCCACGGTCAGGGGCTTGCCTCCAGCAATTTGGCTAAAATGTAAGAAATCCCTTATTGTTAAAAAGCAAAACATCACACCTGCTTTTGAAATACAACGCATAGTACTCCTCATGCACACACTAAATATTTGGTTTTACTAAGGGGATGACAGAAAATACATTTTTAAACTTTGAGGTTAAGCGGGACTTAAATGCTATACAGACCATATGGGGCAGTGAACTCCACTGAGTTGTTCTTTTCTTTCCCGTATCTTTCAGGTTGTTTGCACTGAAAAAACTCCCCTTTGCACAAAAAAAGGCTCCCTCATTTCTAAAGCTCAAAAGGCTACAGCTGCTATTGTCTCATCATCTCAAGAAATACTTAAAAACATTTAAACTCATACATTCAGTGGTTTAGACACACACTAAGTCAACTTGTCAGTGTTCACAGGCCATCTCAACGCAGATCTCCATTTACATTTCAGAAAACCCATCAGCAATAAAATGGTACAAGTTCTCGTTCTAGAGAAGCTCTCCTGCCTTCCCTGTGAAGAGAGCCATCGTGACACAAAGTCTCCAGCTCGTTGATTTTCGCTGGGAAAAGTACTCGATACAGAATGCAGTTTTATGTACGTTTCAACATCCACTTACAAATGCTGGAAGTAAAGAGAGCTGTTTTAAAATCAGCTCCAGCTTCTCTTGCAGGAAGGCAAAACCGAAAATGCGTGCAGGATATAATATGCACTCCCACACCTGCAAACACACTGTGAAGTGTATCTGCTTCCAAACACGCCGCCTCCTTGCCTTTACCACCAGAACATCACAGGGAGGCAGGGTGCCGCAGCGAAAGCTCCCTCTGAGTAAGTGCCGTTGTCTCATTTAACACCGAGGTCTCGTGGAAAGTACAGGGAGTGTCTGGGCAGGCAGAAGTAATAAACACGAGTTAACAATGTGAGCGTGACTTTGCTTAACCTTGCTCGCTTCTGTTCAGCCTGCCCTAGAGACTGCTTTTGAGGTTCTCGGCAAAGCTTCCCAGATGGAATAAAGAGAGCATGATTTCCCCTTCCAGTATGTTTACTGGGAGGAAAACAGCACAAGTACACTGTCATGCACGTGAGACCGACAGCATTTGAGGCCATGTATTCTAAAAAGGGTCAAAAAGGGCCCAGAAAAGTAAATGATCACTAATGAAGGTTTACGTGGGTGGAAGGGAGCCTAAATTAATTTTCAAAGTATATTTATTTGGGTGCGGCAGGGGAAATAACCAAAAGGTTATATTCAAGTGTTGATTCCCCCATCCACTAAAGGAAATGGAGGGTAGAAATTTTGTCTGCCTCAGTTCAAGCCACTTATGAGGAAGCTGGCACTTTCCAAATGCAGGCAGAGCCTTCCCCTGGAAACGCACTTGCATCTCTGTTCAACAGCTGAACAACTGGAGCCGTCACTTTAAAGGCTGAGGTATGAATTTTGGCCAGGCATTAATTCCCACAGACATTAGCTGGCACAGCGTAGCTAATTCTTCATGCACCGAGGCAATAAATAAATAAATAAATAAATGAAAATCAAGGATCCGTGCACTATGTGCAAAGGCTTTGCAGAAATAAATAAATAAACCAATCCCTCAGGCCATCTCCAATTTCTAAGCTGACCAGAGATAAGCTAATTACAGTGTCATTCAACCACATTTACAGTTAAAGCCCTAACATCTGCAGCTCGGTGTTAACAGGCAGCAAAAAAGCCCCGCTCCTGGAGCAGCACTGAACGTTTCAGACTGATTACTCACACGGCTCATGTTGGCTTCCCTGCACGCAGCTCCCCGCATCAAGAAATGCATGTCAAGGACACCTCAGCATCTGCTCTGAGGCAGGAGGGAAGCAGCATGCCAGAGCCCACTGCAGGCAATGCGCGAAGGTAACCGAGCCCGTCCCTCCCTCTGCAGCAGGCAGGGGACAACATCAAAAATTGCTCACACAAAAATAACGGGGACGCATGTGAGAAAGACAAATGAGTAGAGCAGGTTTTCAGGGAATGCTGAGGGTTTGAGCTGAGCTGCAAGATGCTGTTAGACTTTTTGCGACTGCTTGGTGATTTCTACTGCTCCCGTTTGAAACATTTCAGCCTTTTTCTACATTTCTGGAGTTGAGATAGACTATTGAGCTGCTTTTCTCTTCGCTGTCCCTTGTCAAAGACAGCTTGCTGCTTTTCCCCCACTCACGCCCTTGGTGATGACATCCCTTTTTTATCACTTACTCCACAAAGTCCTCTTTGCATCGCTGTAGGAGGTCACATGCTTTCTGGATCTCTTGCTCGTTCAGAAGTACCAGCGTCCCAAGAGTCAGGTGAAGCTTTGCAGGGTTCTGGAACAGGCTGCTGCTGACCCCGTGATCCTACAAATCAGCCAGTCAATCATATATAGGTGTCTTATCTCATCCACACACACACAGCCCTCCGTCGGAGAGATAAATACTACAGTGAACAGGTACCAAGCCACTGGCATCAAATCTTTTATCTCTGCATCGCTGGTCGGGTTGGTAGCGACTCGAAGTTGAAACGAGTAACAGAATTTCACAGGCTTTGCGAGCAAGCGAGCTCAGCCTGGCAGGCGAGGTGTAGCCCCCCCCATTGCACGCGTGCTCCCTGCCTGCCTTTTCATCGGAGCTGCTGAACGGCAGCCTGGAAGCTCGTTAAGACAGGCTCTAACTCAGAACCCAGGAACAGCAGCACTCACTCGTATGGGGTTTCAAGGGGAGACTTCCACAGCTGTCAAAGCGGCAGCTGCCATCAGCAACGAACTCAACACAAGTCAGCACAGATTTAAAACTTGAGTTAAGTCCATTTTTTTGTGTGATAAAGCTAGAACCAGCTGTAGTGACGAGCTCTAAATGGTCTCTAAATCCTGTCTAAACACAGGTTGCACCTCACAACACAAGCACAGCTAATACCAGCTCTGATAATTACATTTTTCTCGTTCCCATGTGCCCTATAGTTTGCCAAGATGAATTAAGTTTAAATTCCCTTTATAAGAAGAGTTACGTGTCGTTGCTGGGGAAGAACTGTTCCCAGGTGGAGCAGTGGTTACATTCAGCTTTAAAAAACATGCTCTTTTGTTCTAGGATATTTATAAAAATACCTCGAGGATGGTTAACACACCCATATTAAAACAATTATTTCCACTTAGTGGCCATTTCCCATCAGCACATTAAATAACCTCCACTTTTAACTCCAGAAGAAGCCAACACCACTTGCCAGGCCACTGAAGCCTTTCTCTGTCTGAAAAAAGTCCACCGACTGAGAATGACAGCTTTGAAGTTTCTAGCTGTGCTTCAGAGTTTGAAATAAAATCTTTCAGATGTTTGAACACTGCAGTATCTCAGCCCGTCAGAGTTTAATGCCCCACATCTCACTCAGCATTTTTCATGTCTAATGACAACATCCATACTCTTCTTTACAGCCGTGCTGATGGGCTGGACTGGAGACGAGCCAGCCTGCCACATAGAGGTCGGGGGCTCGCTCCAGCAGCCGCAGGCTGGCAAAGCGTGGTGGTCCCCAGAAAAGAGAGAGCATGTACCTACCTTCCTCTGCTGCTAATTACTTTATTGCTGACTGAAACCCCAAATCGTACCATGCTAATAGTGGCAAAGCAGGCTGCAAACCTCAGCACCGTGCAGCAGCCTGAAACAAGCACAGACTAACTACGTCAGGCACATCAGGAGCAGAGGAAAGAGGGACGGCTCCATCTCACTTCTCCCCACCTTCCTCTCTCTGCAGTAAAAACCTTTCGGCTTCCTTTAATTCATACTGCTGTTAACATGCATGACAGGACATGATTTCTCTCCGTCAGCCTTTTTTCTCCAATGGTATCTGTAGCCAGAGGATATTTGGCCCATCACAAAACAATAGCTCGGGTAACAGAAACTGGGAGAAAGTTCGATTTATCCTTGCCATGGACAACCAGCCGATGTCACTCCCACAGTGCACACAGATGATGTACAGGAACGAGAACGTAGTTCACAGGTCAGAAAGCAAAAGCTCTACCCTCATTTTCTGCCCCAGCACGATTTGTACTGTAAACATCAACCTGCCCCAAATGCAGCGTTTTCCCCCGAGCTTTCCAACACCTGAGTGTGGGCTGATAGCTGACAAAGTGATGGCACGTCACCTCCACAAGCCACACTACCGCTGCTGGGAGATTAGCAGGGAAGAGCAGTGCACAGTGAGCAGGCCAAGACCTAGACAATCTTGCTAGTTTATTCCCTAGTATTTCAGACAGCTCCTAAAACCCTTGCTTACACCCCTGCTCTTTCACAGGCCAGCAGATCCCACTTCTCCCACACATAAAATAGATGCTATGTCAGAGGTAGCTCTCCCTGGAACAGGCAACGTTTCTGCAGGTGTCTTAGCAGCCCTTCATGGCTGGATGCTGCTCGCCGAGATGCAAAAAAGCTTGAACCCACTTATTCTAATCCCCGATTACGATATGCTATCAGCAACCGCCGTGTCGCCTCACGGGAAGCCGCCCTGTCCAGTGGTATGAGCCTTCTGCAACCTGACCAGCAGGGCCAGACAACAGCAATGCAGAGCCTAGAAATACGTGTTCATAACTACCACTAAAGAAAAACCATGTTCTCATCCAGGGAGGATGAGCCCAAGAGACGTGATCCTGTCAACGATTCTGGGGCTTTATGGACATTTTCCAAATACCAAAGGAACCCTCCCAAGGCAAGCTACAACCATAAGAGCAGGGCTGAGATTCAGCATCGGAGACGGGCACAGGGATCCACCAGGATCTAAGCCATGCTCTCTGAGTGCCTCTCGGCGTCAAGCTCCTCTTTCACCAGTTTCCTCCCCCATGCAGTGGAAGGCGAGCACTCCTCATAGCACAAGTTGCAGTGGCTTGTGGCAAGTGGTGGCTTCCAGCCCTAATGAAAGCAGAGCACCGGATTAGGGGAGGCGAGGTGTCGCAGCGGGGAATCCCCATATTCTACAGGGGAATCTGAAAGCAGTGTATTTGCAGGAACTTGTTGGCAGATACAAACACATAAAACAGACTCTATTGTCTCTCTAAAAATTTACTGTTCAAACTTGGGTTCTTAAGGTGTACTGAGAGGCAGGAAGAATATCCCGTTTACGCACCATCCCTACGTGATGACTGCCCATTTTAGCTTATGCCTCTCCCTGACACTGTCCTGTCATGGTCAAAAAAACAACTCATTTCCACTCAGCCTTAAAAATTCATTTATTTCCTCCCTGCTGCTACTTAGACTTCGACCTTTGCTCTCCTCCTTTAGAAGGAACACAGAAAGGGTTTTATCTGCAGTCTTCACCTCTCTTTGCAAAGCCCAAGCACACTGTTCCTCCAAATCTAAGGCCCCACATCTAGTAGGGAAACCATAGACCACAACGCACTTCAGGCCTCCTACATGACAAGGCAAAGGATCAAACTCCTTAGCTCTTCCTCCCTGGCTGCGTCCTCTCTACTGTCTTAAGAGCTTCCAATATTTGCAGACAGCTTCATGTTTTTGGGTTTTTTTCTTAATAGCAGGACACTGCATGCCAGCTATATGCCCTCTCCCACCCTGATCACAAACAAAGGAGTGAGCCAGAAAAACAGCGTTTCCTCAGAACTGACTGAAGAGCTGCAGGCTGAAAAACCCCGCCCATTTTCTGTCCTTTCCACTCCGAGACATAATATCTCATTAGCGATGTTTGATATTTACAGGTTGCCATATATTACAGCAATCATATTTCTTTTCCGTGCTACATCTGCAGCCTGTTAAGACTGCAAATGCTGCGTTTGCACAGCTCTGAAAGACCCAACTGTGATTTTTCACAGCAATATTACTGCAAAATCTCTTCCCTTTTCCACCTGCATAGTCAGACGGACATTTCAGTCCTCCTCACTCTGACACCTACATGACTGTGCGAGGAGAATTCCAAGGTCATCCTGTCATCCGGACCTCCCACTGCACCACATCAGTAATGAGCCTGTCCAGGTAAGCCACCCCCTCATTTTTATATTAAATTAGCCTGAAAAGAGTCTCCTCTCGGCCCTGCTTCACTGTCTGGCTCCCCTGACCATACTATAGTGTGAACGACACCTGAAGTATTCCGTATCTCAACACAAGGTTCATTTTAAAAAAGGTCTTAAAGATGAAAAAAAGAAGTTAGAAAGCATATACCCACCAACATAACCCTATGCTATAAAATATAAATGAATGGTTGTCATGGTAACTGCTTCAGAGAGAAATAGAGTCACTCACAAATGCTCAATGGCCAGAAGAAATCCTCACACACGCACACCTGGTCCTTTCCCTTCCTTACTGTTACTACCGAGCTTCATTCAAAGACTGGAGTTTACCTAATTCTGCAATGTTTCGCACGAGCAAATTGCAACAGGACGAGAAGCACACCGCTTCTGTCACTGAAACCTATTCAGATTTCTCCAAGTATTCTGAGAAATCCTGTTGCTTTGGACAAATCTATAAGCTCTCTTATTGCTCTGTGAGGCACCGTTTTGAATTACTGTTTTTCATTACTGATGTGCTTTCTAGCAGACCCTGCTGTGAGATAAAGTGGTATTAGAGTGGCATTACCAGCTGGCGGAGTGATTGAGAGACATACGGGACAGCAATATACTCCTTGAACTAACAGGCAGCAATATATCTAGAAACCCTTTTGCTCATACCAGGAGAAGGAAGGGCAGAAAAATAAAGCACCATATATTCCTAGGCTAACATATGCAACCCCCCCAAATACCTGCCACTGACAGAATTCCACATTTCAAACTAAAAATGGGAACTCTAGAGCTGATGTAAGCAGTACCAGGAACATTTCAGGCCCTCCTGAGAGGCACAGGGGACCGAGCAGTACTAACCAGGCCGGGGCACCTTGTGCTGACGCAGTGTAGAGAGCAGGAACTACAGCCGCAGACCTTCTGCCTGCACCCATATAGACGTGTCCTGCTGTAGGGCAGCTTCAGCCCCCACTGTTCTGGGATATTCCCAAAAGTACCTTGACGACTCGGCAGCAGCAAAAGGCACGCTACGTCTTGAGTGCCGCACTTTCTCGGAGATATTGCTATTACTGGTATTAGGAGTTCAAGTCCAAGGTTACTGAAAGCCAGAAGTAGCTGTTCGGCTGAAATGTGTTCCCACGTGCACGCCTACGCTGCAGGATCCCTAACCATGAAGCAGAGCCTTACAGGACTCGGTGCCATCCAGACACAGAACAAAAACACCGCAGGAGAGACAGAAGGTCAGGCAAGAGGAAGAAAAATTAACATCACTAGCCTGGTCAGCAGTGGTCTCAGCACTCCTCTGACCATGCTTGGGTTTCTGCAGCTTTCTAGGACAAGAAGCACGCAAAGGTTTGCAGATGTTCCCAGGCAGCTCCTTCTGAATGTGACTGACAGCACTGGGGAAAGCCCCAAGATAAATTTATGAAAATGTTTCTAAGTGGACGGCAGACCTCCCTGCCCACCCAGGGATGCAAACTGATACTTACGAGCAAGCAAGAGACAAACAATGTGACAGGAGGGGTCTGGAGAGCAAGTAAGATCACCAGCAGAGGCTGGGCCAACGGAGAGCTGCAGAGATGCGACCAAAGAAGCAGGCTGGAAAAATGAGTGCTCTACAAGGAGAATAGTGAGTCCTGTGTGAGGCCAGAGCATTGCAGGAATAAAAACACAGGATGAGAGCACGGACCACAGCACTAGCTGCAAAGATGAATAAAAGAGGCCACATCACAGAGGTGCGACACTGAAAGGATTTTGCCTGACACCGAGCAGCCTGGAAGCCAGAATCCTGCAAGACGTACGGGATGACACTGAGGTTACTGCCCTGCGCAGCAAGCAGATCTGGGTTTGCTGCCCATGGGGAGGGACAGCCGAGATCCACAGGATCTGCTGGCAGACAGCTAGAGGGAGGAGCAGGATCGGATAAACGGAGTCCAGGCCAGCCATGTCTAAAAGGACTGACAGGTTGAGGGAGATCAAGTGAAAGGACTGTAACAGCCATAAGCCCAGCTAGAAGGGAATAAAGGGCAACAGAAACACCAGACTGAAAGCAGCCATCTCAGTCCAGGGCCAACAGCTTGAACAGCCACTACCAGAGCCCCGTGCTGAAGTTACCGGTCCCCCGAAGAGCTGCTCCTCTCCCTGTAACTTTGGTGTGTCCCCCGACAAGGACTGGAACTAGAAACCAACAAAAGGAGCCAGGCCACCACTGACGCCAGCCTGAGGTCCAACACTCTCTGTCCAGCTAACACTTTCTCAGGCTGTTTCCATTCCCCTGTCTTCAGGACTTTCCTTTAATAAAGGTAAGCTTTAATAAAGATAGCTGCGGCTGGCTAATGGAGATAGACGATCAAGTGATATCTTCCTAGCCTGAGGAAAGGGTGCTCATGGCATTGCACTGGTTGCTAATCCCTGGATCTATTGGCCAATTTCAGTTGTATTTAACATCAGGTGGAAACCTGAGTGACAGAAAACTCCTAAGATGTCATTCAAATAGGCAGCTGGGTGGAGAGGAGGGACAAACCAGAACTGCCAGGAAAGACAAGACTGCAAAGCCAGCTCAGTTCTGCTCTTAGAGATAAGACAATTGACATACAAGTGACCACAAAAACTTGAGCAAGATCTCCTGTCTCCCCAGATATCAGATAATTCAAACTTACAGCGCGAAGACATAGGAAACTAAACTTCTTCAGCTGTGCTATCTGCAAGATTATATTTTCCCCTTTGAAAGGCACAAGCAGAAGTGACAGACACGAAGGTAATAATATCAGCCCACAAAACCCTGCTGTGGGTATGCAACCTAACCTGCAGCGGCCACAAAGAGGAACTCTTCTCTCTTGCCTAGAGATGTCCTCCCAGTACTCACAGGACATGGCAATTTAATAATACCATGCCCTCTCCTCAGCCTGACCCTGTGCACTGACATACCACTTCTGCCAAACTACACGGACGCTAAAATAAACCAGGGAATACACAGCTTTCGCTTCATTCTGTTCCTCATTTCCCTATGCCTAACTATTTCCTGCTGCTCTCAGCGTAAGATCTGAAGGCAAGGAGAGGGGACCGTCAACACAGAGTTTTGTGGGAAAGAAGCGACGCGAGTAGATTTGCAGGATGGCATGTGCTACCAAGTCGTTTCTCACTCAGCTCCGGTAATGACACCCATCTTCCTTCACGTCAGTAGCCAAAAGAAAAGCGAAATAGAAGTAGCAGCAAACTTGTGAATTCCTACCTGGTTTCACGGTTATGTAGAAATCATATGAAATGTAGAAAGGTCCACTACATTATTTAGTGGTTGTCCTATTAAAAACAAAAAATGCCCAACCCTCTTTTGAATCTTAAATATCCTCCCACCTAGGAAAATCTCTAAGGAGAACAAAATATTTTACTAACAACTTACTAAGTAAGCCATTCCACTTTCCAGAAGATTTCACATCAGCACTCAACAAATTCACAGCAGATCCGCCAACTTAAGTAAAAGGCCTGTTTAAAAATACATTCCTAGGAAATCTAATAGAATAAGGCCTTCAAGGTAAACACTAAATAGCTATCTCAATAAATGAAATGGCACTCTGCTGAAGGGCTTCCACTTGATTTTAATTCTCAGGTAAATCCTTACCTTTGAGCATTTCTCCAACACTTCCTCCTTGAACTGCAGGAACTTCTCCTGGATGGTGGGCTGGTTGAGAGCGAAGGACAGGAAGTGTGTGAAGGGCTGCTTCTTACGGAAGCTGTCCAGGAGAACATCGATCCGCGTTCGGGCAGAGATGACACCGCTGCGATGCTGCCCTGTAATCACTACAAGGAAACAAAGCAATATCTGTCTGGTTTCCGTGAAGCTACAGTGAGACTACTGCCACCCATGCCCATGCAAAATAAAGAGTATTTGAATGGATCATGATTTTACATGATATTTATCTGTGCACTTTAAAATATCAGTATTGGACGATATTGTGAAGGTAAGAATATTTCATCCAGGAGACGCCAGGAAGGAATTTGAAAAACCTGCACAACAGCACCTCTCTGCTGTTAGCCCCGGGCTCACTGAAGAAGCAATAGGAATTAAAACCCCCAACCACGCACAGAGAAATCTCGCCAGACTCCCTGCTTGACTTAAAATGCCTGACACGGCTGTGCTTTCCTCTGTAAAGACAGGACGATGCCATCAAAAGTATCTCTCTGCTCTCAAGAAAGTCAGCTCTGAGTGCCTAAAAAACAATAACTACGAGTCTATCACCTGAGTGGCTCTTCAGATTTCTAGAGCATTATTTCAAGTTTTATAAAGGCAGTCAAAGTGAAAAAGAAAAGAAAATCTATCAAAGATCAAGACGGCCTATCACTGGTGCATGCACTTCAAGGCACCGAACAGAGAACACTTGAGCTTAAAAGGAAAGAACTGCAAGGAGCAAAATTTTCTTGGCTTTCCTATTATTACGTGTTTTCAACATCTCTCAACCTTCCTAATAGTCCTTCACGGTTCTCAGGAAGAAGTCAAGACCCACTTCTTGAGAAGTATTACCGCGTTCCTGTGCAGCACGACAGTTGGATCCCCCTGTCGCTTACTCCTCACAGCTCTGTCACGAACGTAACTGTACACCGTGCCAATTACCACCGGAGCGTGCGTAAGGGGCCCTCTGGATAACCACTCAGGCAGAAACCCGCACAGGCCAGCCCTTATGAGCAATGCCTCCCTTCTTTTTAAGTCACTGGAAGGAACATATGGCACAGGAAAGCCTGCTCTCACTACCAGGATCAAGTGACAACACCAGAAAGGCAGGAACGTCAGCAAAACACTTCTCATATTAAAGCAGATGTTGAAGTTTATATCATGCATAAATATACAACATGGTATTTTTTTCTGTATATTACAGCTCGTTATTAATGAATATGATATTAATTTAAAGACAAAACGACAATAAAACCCCCAACACATTCAGGCCCAAAGTCCTCAAGCCAGTCATTTAAGGCCTAGAAGTGACTTCAGTGAGACTATTCAGAGACTTAAAATAGATATTTTTTTTCCCCAGAAAAAACTTACACTGCTTTATAAGGATCTATAGACAGGGAAAATAAACTCAGGAGAAAAGTGAAGTGATTTTCAAAGAGCCATAAATTGAGTCAGTCCCATGTCAGAAGCAGGAATTCAAGGAAAAACACTGCCTATGCCCCCTCCCCGCTCAAATCGTGTCTGTGCAAGTGCCGATGAGAGAACACCCATTTTGTGCATGTTAACGCTCACCAATTTCTCCTTCCACTCCAGGCTTGGGAATGCTGATGGAAGTTCGAGTCTCTGTTTCTAGTCTCTTCTTGGTTTCCCCTTTCTTCCCAATGATGTACCTGGAGGCGTAAAAGCGCAAGAGTCACTCACACAGCGTCGCTGGGCCACCCTCCATCAAGTGTGTTCAGCCAGCAGGTTAACCATGCCACAGGCAGCTGGGTCCCCCCAGATTCGGTATCTCCGTGCTAGAGGGATGCACATGCTCAGCCTCACGCGCCGGACCCGGTCCAGGCACAGAGGCTTCTCCCGAGACTCCGAGCGTGACCAGCCTAGGAGCACGGGATGATGTTGAACCATGGCTCACAACTGGCTTAAGCTAAAATAAGTCAATCGGTCCGTAACAGCTCTGCCCAGCACATCCTGCCACAGCTTGTTCGTCAGCTGGGTTATCCCTTTTTCCCATTATCCCAGCTGGCAAAGAACTAAGGGCCCTTTTTCTGCTTTTTGCTTTGCTCAAGGTAGTCATCGGCCAGCATCCAAACACACAACAGAACACCTTTCCTTTACATCTCAGTAAAACTATTCAGCCAATAAAACTGTCAAAAATAACTAGATAAAGCTTTGAACACTACAGGCTTCCCAGTAAACATCAGATTGGAGTCAACAGTCAGTTCCAGCCGTGTGTGCTTTCTCTCAAAGCTTTCACAAGCTCTCCCTGCCAGGCTGCTCGCCCCAGTTCTTCCTCCCCTTCTCCCACCCTCCCTGACGCTTTTATGTTCAAGGGAAGAGATGCTCAAACACCTTCCTGCCAGCAAGAAAGCACCACCTGCTGTCTCTGTCACAGGGAAGGCTAGGAGTCAAGTGTGGCCCATCGGCACTAGAAAGGCATTGCCAATTTTCCCTTCCCAAATGCTAAAATCCACATCCACAAAAGGGAATACATTTCGGAGATCTGGTGCTTACCCCAACCCCCCCCAAAAAAAATATTCTGCGCTCAACCGCTTCCCAGCAGCAACTCAAATAAACCAGAAACACATAGGCTCACTTGTATAAGGGGCTGGGAACCTCCACTCTGCACTGGAAGCCTTTCTCAGTCTCTTCCACCACAAAGGCATCACAGGGTTCGTCTGCGCAGTCACCGGGGCCTACCAGAAAAAAAAAAAAAACAACAGACCTTGTACAACCTCTGTAAAGTTTGACAGTGCTTTATGTAGGACAAGAGTCTCACAGCTGCCTTCTCCCAAGGTTAAATACAGGAAGAAACGGACTCCTCTCCGTTGCGGCTAACTGCTTTTTATTTCACCTTACTACCAGCTCCAGAAAACATGACTGCTTCTAAATCCACCGGGCTGGGAGGCGTAGGAAAGCAGTAGTTACAGCCCAGATTTTCTCTCAGTGGAAGTTGCGGAACAACCCAGTGGGAATGGTCTCTTCTCCTGGCAGGGTGGAAGCCACCAGCCCATTCAGAGACGCGAGCAGGAATTTAAAGTCGCAGAATACAAATAAAAGGTGAGGCCAGTTTTGGTTCAAGGGTTCAGGCACACTGTTTTGGAAAACAGAGGAATTCTCACACCCTCAGCACGGAGGAATAGATGCATCCTTTCATCCGTGGGCCATTCCATCATGCCTGTTAGGACCAAACGTGATTTCCAGAGAGAGGCCATGGTTTCTATCTCCTCTCCAACACATACAGGGAGGAATTTGGGTGGCAAGCAGCTTACTAAAGCTTTGTTCAATCCACTGAAAGGCAGGATGGGGGAAGAAACAGGACACAACTGCCACAACCCTTTCCATTTGAGAAATAACAGCTGAGCTTTTCTGTGCCCACAACTCATGCAGAACTACAACAAACATACAGGCAGAAAGATGAAGTAAAATACATCAGAACAGGAAGAATTTTGCCCCCAAAATAGGTAACACCTTCCAAAAGCCACATTATAAGAGGCCAGTTCTTCAAGGGGCAAACATTGCAAGGACAGAGGATCTTTAGCAAGCAGCTTCCACTCCTGCCATATCTGCAAATAATCACACTACTGAAAAGAAAGGCACTTCAGGGACCTGGGGAAAACAGATCTACTAAAAAAAAACCCCAGAAAACAGAGCTAATTTATTTTCCCCTTTTACTGGAGATCTTTCACAGCCGGCAAGCAAACCGACAGTCAGCAGCACAGTCACCTAAACGCTACACGTTAGGTAACCGGGATTACATCCACTCTTTGGTCAGCAGGATCATCAGGGACCAAAGCAAAGCATTTTTCTCCCTCTTGAACTCCTCACTCCACCAGACGGGCAGGTCCTTGAGCACGTAAAGGCATCAGAGAGAACACCAAGAGTTCCCTAGGTCCCCAGTGTCAACGCGTTCACCTGTAGCATGTCCTGACAGCACCACGGTCACCCCTCACACAGCACTCTTTACCTGCACAGAAATCCTCATCCTCCTCCTCGTGCTGGTAGGCCTGCTCTTGAATAAGATTCTTCCTGTATATTCGCCCCCCAATCTTTATCAGGGTGGGCCGCAGAACGTCCATCCTGCTCCTCCTCCTAATGCAAAAACAAGGACAGTTTTGCTAACTTATGCCAAGGAAAGGTAAATTTCGATGTTTCCTCGTGGATAATTTGTAAGAGGGATGGGGGGAGCTCTGAGGGGTTCAAAAAATGTACCTCCAGAAGAGCAGTAACTCCTCCTATACGTGTAGATGAGAAATTTCAGAAAAGCAATACCTTCTCAAACCTTATGTTACTCTTTCAAAGACTAAGTTTATGAGAACTTACAAGCATACTCTTTGTCAGCTCGTAAAGCACAATCAAGTAAAAACGGGAAATTGAAGCAATGTAAGATAGGTAACGAAGCCTACTGTTTGTTGCCCCTGCAAGGAGGTCAGCAACTGATCACCGCTCTCCCTGAAACTCACAGGTTTTAGCTAAAACTCATGTGGCCTCAGTCAATGTGCCATCTTAGCACACTGTTGAGGATTCTGAACAGTTTCACCTCTTTATTTTCCATAGCTGCAGACCAAAGAGACCCCCGCCTCTTGCAAGGAATCCCCTACAACACTGACCTCTCTCAAAATACCCGCCATCCTCCACTGGTTTCTCAAAGGCCTAAGGAGCGTTTCAAAAGCAAACCCAGTTCCCTGGATCTGCTCGGGAGGCAGCTGGGGAAGGGAAACAGAGCGCTCTGAGGGGTCGGTACTGGCTGGTGTAAGTGGTTACACCTCCTGCCCTCCACCTCAGAGCACCGTGGCATACGGGTAAAACTCTTACGTTGCCCTGCATTATTCCAAATTATATTAGAAACACGGGGCACTGAGTTAAACTTTTTACAGCAGAGAACATTTAATGGCGCACAAGCAATAGGGCGATCCAAAGAACTGGCAGCCGTCTGTCAGAGACTTCACATCTTCAGTGCTTAAATTTCTAAGTTCACTGAAATTGTTAACATCGGATATCTCAGTTTGCCCCGTTTTTAAAACAGAAATTTCTGTTCCTTAGAAAACAAAGTTTCCACCAAAAAATTCACCTTCGTCAGAAGGTTTATCTGTCCACTACAACAGAACCTGACAGGAAAAAATGAAGAGCTTCCCTTCGAAGACGAATTTATCCTAAACTAGATTTATTATATGGAGTGACATCACCTTCAGAAGGTTAATGCTTTTCCCCTCAATTAAAGCCCCACCTTCTGAAATGACTTACAACCACCTGAACTTACACCTAAATAAAAAGGCCCTCCTGTAGTTCAAGGGAAGAAGCGCAGACGCCAACCGCGCACAGCAGGAGACGGAATAAGCCATGAAAGAACACACTGCTGTTGGG